TCTTCTTTCACATGTCTTCTGGTCTTCAATATACTTTGATTTTGCCGTGCATTACGACCTGAGACTATTCTCCTCAGTAATGGCTTCTTGTCGACTCTCCGTAGCTTACTACTTATAAGTCACGTTGAGAGTAGTATCCATCTTTACAGCACACGGACCGTCTCAATCGAAAATCTGTAGCTAGAACCCAATAATATGTAGCTGAATCGATTTCCAAAATGTGAAATCGATTTTTTCCATCTTTATATTAAAGTACTCTGTCACCCGAGAGAAGATTCGTTGATATTTACCTAAAATTTATAACAAATTTATAACAAACTGTTTCTGTACACATAATGAAGGTTGTAATTTACCAATAACCAAGGCTTCTATAAACCTCAGAATCTATCTTTTAACGTTTCAATCTTATGCCCCATTTCAATCGTTAGTGTTTTGCAATCGATCAGCATGGATTTTCTTGATGATTAAACATTTTTCACAAATCATACAGTATTTAAACACTGTATAACAATTTACTTATCGAAATCTTCCGAAATTTAAGTAAAATTAAATACCTTACCATCATAATTTCCGATAGTTGGTATAACATACTTTTAATTCTCCACCTTATTTTCATTTTTTTCTATTAGTTCATTTGAAGATAAAGCCGATAAAGTGCTCGAAGAATGTTATCAAGAAGATCGTTCACGTACTTTGATTCTTTTATACAGAAAACTAGAATTTTATGGAAATACTTCAGTGATACGTTTAGCTGCACGTGGAAAATGTATACGATTTATGGCGAATCCATGTTGTCAAGATTTATTATCAGGTGTATGGTCAGGGCGTTTATCTCCGAAAAATACATGGATTCAAGTGAGTTTTTTTTATAACAAATATATATTACTTTATAATAATTAGGTAGTCAATAAATTTGATACTAATTTTCTATCAATCTTGTAATTATAACAATTTGGTTAGATGATTTTGTTTTATTCACATCAAATTCTTATTCCATGTTTTGATTTCTGTAATCACTTTCTCTTACTGTGAGCAAAGGATACCTTTATTGAGTGGACTGAAGATTTGGACTTGAAGATTACATGATAAATTTAAGTGACCAAATAAAAGTAATTTTTCATGACTAACTGAAATCATTATAACTTGAACAAGGACTGACAAAACTGATTAGGACGCTTTAGTTTCATGAACTTGCGACCTCAACTTAGGAAATCTTCAGAAACCATCATGATTGATATTAATCTCATGAGCACTAGTGAATAATTCCCAGATATTTTCAGTGAAGTTCTAGTATGAAGGAAATTTATGTCAAGTTAACTATTAGGATAGAAACATTTGACAGAACTGGATGTGGATTTTGTTTCAATACAAGCTCAGTTGAGCTATAAAGTATGACAGTTGAGTTCTAGAGGAATGCTCGTACGTTTGTTTTCCCGTACAACAATGATTGCATTTTCTTGAATAATCTAAAACTGATAGACTTCAAAAAAATTAACACTTCTTAGAGTTAATAATAATTTTTAATAAAAATAAAATATGGCTCACTAGCTAATTTAAGTTGATCTAACCTCCATACAACTGAAGGGACCAAGAATAATTAGGAAGCTTCAATGCCTAAATCCGATTAATCTGTGCATACCTCATGAGTATACATGTGTTCGTAGCCATCTTAACTACATGATTCAATACATAATCCTCTTATCAACCTTGATATGTTGCCATAAGTGTTGACCATTATTCCACTGAAAACGTTCATGATTTAAATTGAATGGTACTTCTTTTACTTACACCTGTTAACCCCAAAGGAGCATATATGCCGCCGACAACCATTTTCCAACTTATTCTGTCTTGAGCTCTCTTTTCCAGTTCTCTCCAGTTGCTGTTCATTTTTCTCATGTCTATCTCCGTTTCTCAAAGTAATGTTTGCCTTGACCTTCCTCTTTTTCTTTGTCCTTGAAGAATGTAAGTGAGGGCTTGTCTCGTGATGCAGTTGAGTGATTTCTGCAATTTTTCCTATCCAACCGCCGGCAAGTTTTCCTAATTTCTTTCTCAGATGGAATCTGGTTTGTTCTCTCTCACAGTAGGTTTTTATTTATGATGTCTGACCAACGGATCCGAAGTGTTTTGCTTGGACAACTGTTAATAAACACTTGTATTTTGTGAATGATAGCTTTCATGATTCGTCAAAGGCGAATGGTAGATGGTGTTTATAAAGAAAACATGAGTAAACAATTTTTCCGAATCATCACAATAGTGAAATGTTTTAGCAATCTAAGACAGTTCATTACAGTAACACAGTTCATTACATACAGTAAGGGTATTATTATTAGTATTAAATTATTACCATTATTTCATGTTTGTTTGCTTATTTTTCCCTTTTTGTTTAGTTAGTACCTGCTATTTTAATGGGTATATCTATTCCTTTTATTATTCCACAATTTATAAAATATTCAACTTCATTTGAAAGTGGCAATTCACCTATTGGTCAAGTAAGCGTAATAATTGAATTAATTGGTTTATTGTTTAAATAAATAATTTCCCTCATGATATCTAACCTCACGCAAATTACATTACTTATTTTCGCATAAGATTAAAACATATGATAGTTACAGATATCTGTTGTAAAAAATTGGAAAAATTGAAAACGTACAGAGTATTTAATTGCTGACTACTACTCATTCGACACTGTATAGAAGTACAACCTTAGCTGGAAATGAAAGCTCAATCTTCACTTCTACAGCTATTTCACTGGTCATACTTAAAATTTCACTTGTACTAATAAATGATTGTTGCACTCATTGAAGCCCTGTTGCTCCTTGATTCCTCAGTATGTATCGCTGAAGTGTTACACAGTTAGACGATTAAGTCTTCTAGCTTTCCTTAGATTTTAATATTTTAGCGTTCATAATAAACTGTGCTGGAAACTAACTTAGAGCCTAATTTTTCAATAACTGTATCTCCTATCTCAGTCAATCTCGATAATTGTGATGCCTTTTTCAGAAAAAAAAACTTTAAACGTTTTATCTGCACCGTTTAACTGTGAAGTGATGTCTTCAATCGCATTTTCGTTTTGTAGCTCATTCGAAGTTGAAGATTTCAGGAGAGTTAAAACTCTAGAGACCTATCAGAAAATTCCGTTTTATCATCCGATATGAGAACTGTAATGATTCTTAAATATTTCGAATCACTACATTAAATAACGATAACTAAAAGCTCTGATTGTTACTTCACGTATAAGAAAACAAATGACACGTAGTTCAGGACTAGCTATTCAGTATCTACATATGAATTGGGAATGATGTTGGAACTATCTAGGATAAGCAAACGAAAAAACATGATGTTCCAGGAAAGCTGATATTAAAACTTACTGCTGTCATTTTATATTAGCTTTTAAAATCATTCATTTACTCGCCATTCCTTATCTGATAAACTAAGAGCTTGGTTATTGCTATGAAAGTAAATAATATATTATGCTTTTTCGCGACCTGTGTGCATATTATGACTTCAGGAATTTAATTAGAATTTTTTCCAGTTAGAGTTATGGAGATTAGTGTTTTTACACGTTGAAATCATCATTCAATCATTGTTAGACCACCGTTAGAAACCTGGGTTCGAAATCCCACGAGGTGCAAGAGTCGTGGACGCACACTGTTGATGAGTCTGTAGTGTGCCCGATGGCTGCGTGTTCTTAAGCTCGGTTTATAAATCAGAAGATGAACTCCAAGTATCGTATACGTTTATTCAAGGCACACCACAAATCGAATTGGAGAAGGCTAGTGAGCCAACTCAAAGAGATAGAGTATGACTAAGAATATATAGTCAGATAAGAATAAGACAGACATATGACAAGCGAAATAGATATGCACACACATGAATAAAAGCGACGAATGATTGACAAGGTCAAAAGCAAGCGATACAAACCATGTGAGTTCATGGGAATATTACGAGATTAACATTAAAGCGAAAAGGATGAGTAAGTGCGTAAGCGTAAGCAATGCTCAGTCGTACAAGCTCATACAAAGCAGATAATAAAAAATAACAATGGTACATATGAGTTGTTGCTATGCAAATAGCTTGGTTACATAAATTAATCGAAAGGGCTTAAGCAAATTTAATGTAAGCGGATGCAAATAAATGTGGAGGCACTACAATGGCCCCCTTCCAGCAAACAAGGATACGAAAGTGTCTGTGTTTGCGAAAAAAAATCGAAAAATAGTCGGAATGCATCAAAAGGTAGGAAAATTAAAGTTACCTTGTCCGGGTACGTTCGTAAGTTCGCATAGTAACAGAAGATCAAAAATATGTGGTAAGCGGTTATTAGCAAAAATAATCGATTTCGAGTAGAATACATTAGGAGCAGTTGTACGATAAGAAAATGTAATACAAATGCTGCAAAATATTTAATATCGTTTAGGCATGACAGTTAGGACGGAATTCGATAATCGTATAGACATTACGGTAAGGCTCATCGATAAATTGAGTGGCTGCACATAGGTGAAGAAATTGCGGTCGAGATTATCGTGAAAAAATTTGGAGAATAAAGCTGCGTACAGATGCGATGCATGGACATTAAATGCATATCGAAAACATAAGTTACTACCATTGAGTATATGACTCCAAACTTATGTGTATGATAGCGTTGCGAACCGTTGCTAGCGTTGGGGTAGTCAAAAAACATGCTAATATCAGCGTGCAGGAGGTTCGCTCGACTGCTTGAACTGCTGTTTTGTGTGCATGTGCGTAATATCATACCACCAATTTACTTAGCAGGCTGCAAGATTTTCGAGTACGAGCAGCTGATGAGTACATCGAAAATATCTCCAATGCGATAATCGTATAGCCACGGAAATATTAATGGACAATAATTGTCGTTGAGCCATTGCTTTAATAAGCGATTCGAAACATGATAATGCGATACGGCAATATAAATGGAACGAACTCACCTTAATCATGAACGTCGTTCGTGTTATCGAAAGAAGTAAAATAATTCCGTGAGTTGCAAATGTCCTGCCGTGAACACATTATTCGTAATGCGATTCGATTAGCGATTAAGATAATTCCATTATTGTCATAATATCATGATTAATCATAATAATGGTTCTTTCACATTAATACGATAATGATAGCGATAATTCGAGAAATAGATTAATGCGACGAGTTGGTACATAATCAAAATGACGATAAGATAATGCTTGATTCGTTCAGCGAATTCATTAATTTCGAGAGCTGCTTTGTCGCTGTATGGCGTCGGGATTTCCAGTTAGTGGTTCTGTTCGATTTGTCCTCGAAATTACCAACTGGTTGGTTATATTCGATTTGTCATCGGAATAGTCGAATTATGTAGTGAGAGTTTACTGATCTTCTGTGAAGACGTATGGACGAATGAATCGAGCGAAGCAAATAGGGAGTGATATGAATGAACGACGGGTTCACCATTTTGTACGGTGGCCGATTTTGTTGACGTCGGGATAACCATTTTGTAGTGCACTGACGAGCGAATGGACGAGAGAATGATTGCATTCGATTCTACGTCGAGATTACCAATTAATTGGAAGCGTTCGATTTTTCGTCAGCATCAGGAAACATCCTGAGAACGTCGGGATCACCATTTTGTTCACGTCGGGCTCACCATTATGTAGTGTGCCTGATGGCTGCGTGTTCTTAAGCTCGATTTATAAATCAGAAGATGAACTCCAAGTATCGTATACGTTTATTCGTGGCACACCACAAATCGCATTGGAGTAGGCTAAGAGCCAACTGAAAGAGATAGAGTATAACTAAGAATATATAGTCAAACATATGACAAGCGAAATAGGTATGCACAGACATGAATAAAAGCGACGAATGATTGACAA